TGGATTAGTGAAACAACAAATACTCGCGTGTATGGCAGCAGACAGGCATACGGGCTCCCGCTCTCTCCCTGAGATCCATCCCCCAGTAAAATTCTTCCTTGTTTTCCCCTCTTCGCGGTGGGAAATCCTTGGAGGCGGGGATGCGGCTTTTCTCTCCGTTCCTTCTTCCCAGCTCGCGTGCTGCCTATTATCACTGTTATCCCTCTCTTGCCGGTAGCATCCCTGGAGCTCGCTGCGTTATCCACCCGGAATCAGCCCTCCTGCGGGGGGGCTGGGGAAGCGGGAGAGTGTGGTTCTTATTGATGTTGTTGTTGTGGCCGTCGCTCTTTCCCTAAACGGGAAAAAAAAAAAAAAAAAAGAAAAAAAAAAGAGCCCGCGGTGGAGGAATGGATCCTGAATGGATTTTCCCTCCTCTCCAGATGACAAGTCGCTTTTAAAGCAGCAGCGAGGAGAGGTGCAGCCCGCGAACCTCGGGGGGAGCAGGGCACAAATCAGTGCTCCCCACTCCTGCTGCACCCCAGCCTAGGGGGGAGCGGGAATGTAAATCAGTGCTCTCAACTCCTGCTGCGTCCTGGCCTGGGCTCCCTTAGGAATGACCTCCCGGCGGGAGCTGCCCGCCCCTTGCCGCCTCGCCATGCACGGCCCTGTACAGTTCAGAGGTCGCTCGGTATTGCCCCGGTCTCAGGGATATAATTCCTTCTCCCCTCCGAAATGACAGAAGAGCTCGCGGCCTTCCCCAAAAACCTCTTGCCCGGCGCCTTCTCACGAACTCTAGAGAAGGTGGGGTTGATCGGAAGGGAACAGACAGCTCGTGCCTGGGTTGTGCAGAGGCCTGGGGGGTTTTCCAAGGGCCTGTTTTTTTCCTGGGTCCTGCAGCACCAGGGAAACTCTCCCTTGATCGAGTTACTGGGACCTTTGCGGCGGGGACGAGATATAAAATCACTGGCCCTTCTCCCAAAACCTGGAGCTGTCTGCGCTTTCGGACAGGTTTGCCAACTTGGAGGTGAATGGTAGCATAAGAAAAAAAAATTTATATATATATATATTATATATATATATATATATATATGAAAACCCATCCACCCTCCTCTTCCCGGAGCCACCAGACAAGCAGCAGCATCAGCTCGTCCCCCCGCGGTGAGTTTGGCCCCCCTGATCTACGAGGAGAGGACTACGGAGGGGTTTATACCGGTCCTTCAGCTTCGAGGGACTGCAAAACCCGACCTGGCCGCGGCTGCTACTGCAGCTACCCTGAGCCTTCCTCCGCTTCTTCCTTCCTCCCCTGCTGCTCCAGCCAGGCTGAAATCACCTGTCGCGATAGGCTCCTATCGCATTATTGACCTCCATGTCTCAGCTTTTAAACAGAGTCCCAAATACATCCCTGCATCCCGCACTTGGCTCTCGCATCTCCTGCGACACCAGCCCACCCAAAAGGGCTCCCAGCGAGGTAATGGGGGCGACTGTGGGTCGAGAGAGAGGGGCAGGTGGGGTTCGACCCCCAGGCCCAGGATGGGACAGAGCAAAGGGACGATGCTCTCAGCCCCCAGGCCCTGAAGAACATCTCCAGAGGGGGTGGGAAGTAGGGAGACAGAGCAGGAACGTCCCACTGGGACGAGGCGAGACAGAAAACAACAACGAGGGGTTGTGGGGCGAGAGGAGACCCCCAAACCCGGCTCAAGCTGCGACCCCCCAGGAACTGTCCAGCAGCAGCACGGGGAGAGGTTGCAGAGCCCCGGGGGGTGCCCCAACCCTCAGTACCGCACCCCTTGGCATCCCAGCCCTGCCCCTCGGAGAGGAAAAGGGTCCCTGTGTGCCCAGCACCCTTGGCCGGTGTGGGAAGTTGTGGGAGCCTCGGAGACCCTGGGATTTCTCAACACGTGTGGGAAAGCCCACTGCAGCCACCTGACTTCAGCCATCTCCCCAGGGCGTTCCCGTGCGGGAAAAAACCCCGGGGAAGTGGGCCTGAACCGGGGGAGAATTCTTTCCCAATTCGTTCCCCCTCCCCCACCCCCATTCTACCCTGTTTATTTTCTTGCCACTGTTTTAGTCTAATAGTTTTCCTTATAATTTACTTTTTTCACCCTTTACATTATGTATTTTCTCTTTCTAAAATAGCACTTTGGATTTTATTGCATTAAAAAAAATAAAGAGAACAAAAAAATATATAAAAACCACCCTCTGAGAGCCAGGAAAAACGGCAGGAGTTTTTTTACAAGAATGTTCCTTAAAATACAGATCAAGTGAGGGTCGGACATTTTTTTCTCATTTAAATCGAGAGTTTCAGTGCTTTTTGCCAGCTTTTAAGCGCATGCAAAATTTAACCGGTCAAAACCGATTTATTTCATCGATTTGAACAGTCTGACACGTATGTAATCACTCCTGAACTCAGAAAAAGGGCTACGAGGGATATTGGAGGGCTGCGGGAGGTGGGAAAGGGGCACGGCTGGGGAATATCCCCTGGAAATACTGGATGGCTGAGATTTTGCAGCCTGGAAAGGAC